ATTCATTCATTCTAACGTGTTTTTCATTACTTTCAGCAATTAATCACAACAAAAAGTGTAATAAAATAAATAGCACACACATTAGACAAGAAGTGGTAAAACATTTCTAGGTCTGTGTTCTATACCCAGTGAAACCAAACATAGGTATTAGTACCTATGAGAAATGGTACAAAACACAGTCTTTGACCACAAAGTACTCACAATGCCACTGTAATTAAATTATTACAACATGCATTCTCAATGTGGCAGTGAAAATCGTTTCCTGTGGGGGGGGATATTGAAAAAAATCTCTTTTTACGTATAAAGCAAAAATTCACAAACATATCTGTTTATACACATAAACGGATATCCAGTATATGTGTGGTAGTAAAATTTCTTGGGCAGGGGGTTGGGGGGGAGGTGGCTATTAGAAAGAAAATGTCTAAAAAGGCTCCTTAGGGGACAAAAATAGGTTGAGAAACACTGCCCTATGGCACTCAACCATAGTATCCCTCTTTTGAGGCCTGTTAAAGTGAGCTGGCATTTCAAGATAACAGGTGTCTGGTTTATTATTCCTAGCCTGGCCAACCATAAATTTAACTGCCTACCAGATATCATTACTTGAAGCTCCAATTGGCAACTCAAACTAACAATGTCCAAGAACTAAACTCACCACCTTTCCCCCATAAACCTGCCTGTCCTTGTGTTTCCTATTTCAGCTCATGAAACCACAATGTACTTAATTTCTTAACTCAGAAACTCAGGAGTCATCCTAGCCTCGTCCTTTTATTTCACATCCCAGATCTAACCTCCTGCCAAATCCTATGTATTGTATCTTCTTCTTGAATTCATCCACTTCTCCCCATCCTCACTGCCACTTAAATGAAAAACATAAAAAACACAAACTCCTATCAAAAACCTTTTTTGTGTGTTCTCAGAACACTTCATGTATCTGAAAGAGCTGAAGTTAGCCTCGTACCTCCAGGCCGGAGGGCACGTTTCTACATTCACAGAGACAATTACTCTCACATTCACCGGCAGTGGGTCTATCAGCCACTTCATGTGTTTTTCAACTTGCTTAAAAATATAAAAACAAAATTTAATTCATTAAAATATTTCAAAATTAACAGCTCCCCAAATAAAATAAAGTAGCTCCCCAAATAAAATAAAATTCTTGTTAAGTTTCCCTTATTATTGATAAAAACCTTATTTTTGGACAATTTATTGTAGAATTTTAAAAGAACAAGTCACAAAACACTATTATTACCAATTTGAACTCTGGACACTTAAGAAAATGTTAAGGGCCTAAAAACATGTCAAAATGAATAGTCTTTGCTAATTGTGTAAATTCAGTTGGTCTTTCCTAATAAGATTCTAGCATCTACTGGCACAGAGGACATCTTTTTTCATGCACGTGCTTCCTCCCTAGAAATTAAAATAACATAAACAGGGCCGAGCCCGTGGCACACTTGAGAGAGTGCGGCGCTGGGAGCGCAGCGACGCTCCCGCCGCAGGTTCGGATCCTATATAGGAATGGCCAGTGCGCTCACTGGCTGAGCGGGGTGTGGGCGACACCACACCAAGGGTTGCGATCCCCTTACCGGTCATGAAAAAGACAAAAAAACCCCCCCAAAAAAACATAAACAAAAGAAACAACATCAATATTTTCTTCTCACAAGCATATAATTTACATAAATGCCTGCTATGGCCATTACTGATATATTGTCTATTTCTGTGTGTATAAATGGCTTACAAAATGAAAACAGTACCTGCACTTGATCTATAGAATCAATGATGATGATGATACTGCCTTGATGACGAGCAGAGAGTTTTTCTAGCCAACGTGGAAATTCTTCCAGAAGCTTAGCAGGATCTAATATCAGAGCAGATACTGACCAAGAGTGCTGCATCAACTACAAGAGGAGAACACATTAAGTACTTATACTCTATCCCTATTTTTTCAACCAAAATTGAGTGACCAAGAGGACCTGATTGTACCCAATATTATTTTTAACCTTACACAAAACCAAAATAAGTGAATAATACTGAAAATTGGTTTATCATTAGGTACCTATTAGTCCCAACAACTTCTGAATCTAAATAAAATTCTGACAATTCCAAAGGATGGCATACTATACCTTTAGAGTTAGTCGTTTAATAATCAAAGAAGACTCTGAGCTGGTTGACATGGGCCTCCCCACAAAATGAGAAAGAATCAGCGTGTTAGGTGAATTCTTCTGTTGTAATTGAATCCTGAAAGAAAGACAGGACTTTTACAAGACTGATGAAGCTCCTTTAATGTCAGCAAAAAAGAACTCACAGTGCAATAAACATCAAATGCTGCCCAGCTGTCAGCGATGACATGGTCAGTCACTTTTGAATAAATATGTAGACTTCTGTTTTTACTCTATTTTTTGATCCTTTTAAATACATTTAAAAAAAATTATAGATTCATTTTAATTACATATTGATGTCAACTAACATAAACCAAAATAATTTACATTGGAGGTTAAGGTATTAGTAAACTAAGCATTAACTTTCAACTGATACAAAAATGTTAGCTTCCAAATATAACTTTAAATAAAAGGGTAATTAAAAGGAAACGATATATGCAAAACCTTCAATGTAAATAATAAATGTGAGTAAAAAAAATGCCTTCCTTATTTTAAAATAATATAATGAAATTAAAAATTTATAAGGAAATTTATTAGCTTATATGAACCTTAGTCCTTAATTTGTAGGACTAGATTGCATTCATAGCAAAAGTTATTTTAAATTTTGATGTTCTTTAGGATTTATTTTACCCTAAATAGTCTGTCTTTGTCTTGTTCCAGATATTTAAAATCCCAATGAAACTTTTAAGATGAAGCTAATAATTGAAAATAAAGGCACATCCCTCTATAATCCACCTACCTCCATAACACACTGCTACTCCCTTACATAGCACTGCTGTAGCTCTTACCTACATAATTTATGTTCATAATCATGAATGCTTACACTTCCTTTCTCATTCTGTGTCTTCTCTGTGACATCCAAATTCCTTCAGGGCATGAACCTATTATTTTACTCCTTTATGCTTTTTAAAATTTTTAGTACAGGCCATTCAGAAAGGCAGACATGCAATATATCTTGTTGAATGAATCCGGTAATTCAAACGATGACAACGATAAGAATAATTTAACTACACTGCATCATACCACTTTGATAAAAGAAGGGACTTTCCGGAACCTGGCCCTCCAGACACCAGAAGGGGTGGAATCGGGGCTGGTGCTGCCACAAGATCATTAAGGCGTTGATAATACTAGAAACAAAAACAAATTAAATTGTGAGAAAGCACATGTATCTGAGAATACTAAAAACAGTCAACTTCTGATTATCCTCTGAAAACATTGGAGAAAAGCTGTATGAGAAAATGAAATCTCCATTTGGTTGACAGCACCCTCATAATTGCTTATTTTTATGGTTTGTGAAATATGCCTAAAGTAATAAACTAAGAATGCGCCCCAATTTCTTCTACATACAGCATTGCTGTAAATGGGTAGAGACAACACTTCAGATCCCTGTGGGGGTTTTGCAACATTCAGATGTTTTGCGAATGCTGCAGGGAGTCCACTGTATCACACTGTAGCCCCTAAACCACAGAAAGTACCACAGGAGGCCTTGAGGATTCCCACAGGCATCCTAGATCTCCTGGTCAGAAGAACAAACACCTGTCCTAGAGACCATCTCAGTTTCCAGGAATTTCTTGCCGAGATCAGGTCCAAACAAGAGCAGGGTTCCTCTGGGGCCTTGGAGTGTCCCAACCTGTCCCAGAGAATCAGATTAGAATAGGCTGCCAGGGAGCTTTCTGAGCTTAAGTGAGTTCTATGCAAAGTCCAAGAACCCATATTTCCCAGGCTTTCCCCAGACACTCAAAATTCATTCAGAGCTGAAAAGGACACACTCAGAAAACCAAAATATCTTAGTACTTATTAAGAAGTTTCCGGGCCGAGCCCGTGGTGCACTCGGAGTGCAGCGACACTGCAGCTGCAGGTTCGGATCCTATATAGGAATGGCCAGTGCGCTCACTGGCTGAGTGCGGTGTGGGTGACACCACACCAAGGGTTGCGATCCCCTTACCAGTCACGAAAAAAAAGACAAAAAAAAAAAGAATTTTCCAAAGCTGTCTTGAGGGTTGAGAAGTTTATTAAGTGTACCAATGGCCTAAATGATAACTGATGAGGAATTTTAAATATTTGAAATATGTAGGTTGTGCTAGCTTTAGGGTAGCAAAATTCTCCAGGAACTACAATAAATGATTACTTGGCATGTATTTTTTATTTTTCTGCTTGTTATATCTAAGTACAGAATATATTCTCCAGGAATTCAAATCATCCTGATAGCAACAATGTTTCTGAGGGAGAAAAGGAAGAGATTTACTGATTAATTACCTCATAAGTCCTAACAATTTAGTTCATGGGCCCACATAAAGCCCATTTATGGATCCATGGCTCCCAAGTTAAGGCCCCCTGCTACAGAACAAAAAGCAAAGACCTAGGGTCAAATTCCACATCTGCAGTCTACTCTCTGTGTGCTCTCAGGAGACCATAATCTAAACCTCAGTCTTCATTTATAAAATAACAATAGCAACACACCTTTCATAAAATAATGACTAATTTAACATTTATCATGTGTCAGGTACTGTGCTCAGGGCTTAACAATCCTATGAGGTGGGTACTATTAGTTATTCTCATTTTATAGACAAGAAAGTCAAAGTTTAGAATGGCCAAGTAACTTGATCAAAATCCAATTAGGAAATGATGGAACTGGGACATAAACACAATCTAAATTATAAAAGTTCAATAATAATACAACTGTTAATGTTAGCTACTATACTATTCTTTAAAATATTATTTCTTACATAAATTTTTTAACATTATTTTTTGAATGTGGACATAGATTTCTTTGTACACTTCAAATTCTATTAATTTGTTTAGATATTTAAGAATGCTGATTAGATCAATAAAGACAGACTGATCTGCTATTGCATGAACTACTGTACCTTGTTTTCTGAATGTTTGATATTTTGATTCCTTTAAGAACTAGAAGAACAGAAAGCCTACTATTCTTATGATGTTTCCTAGTTATCCTAAACCTGGTCTGGATGAGATGCAGATGGTGGCATAATGAACATGTAGTTGACAAATCCTAATCTGTAACTAAAAATGGCTGGTGTTCATAAGTATATTTGAATCTCACATATCTTTCATAAGATACAAACCTAAGCATGTCTCAACATGGATAATCAAGCCATGAGAGCAGACAACTAACACAATCACAAACCTTGACTATATTTAGCTGAAAACACAATCATAACACAGCCTCGAAATGGTGACTGATCTTTATTGCAGCAATACTCCAAAAGCTTACTTTCTCAAATCCCAACTCATGGGCTGAATTAGAAGCCTGCTGAAAAGCTTCCATTTGCTCTTGTTCATCATGGATGTCCCACAGAACATCACCAAAATCATCTTCTTCTGGGATGGAATCTTCACTGCCCAAATCCTTAGTCTCCAGGTCTGTGTTCTCAAAGCCCAATATGTCCTGAACACAAAGAAAAAGCACACAAAATGAAGATCATAAAGACCTGGTAGCAGGAGTTAGCACACAGGGTTAGCATGAAGTGGGCTTCACCTACTGAGTAGGGCATGTCCAAACCCTTGGCCTTTGTATAATGCCTACAAGAATAAATTTACAACTACAAAAATAAACACTAATTTAAAAATAAAGAAATAAAAATATTAAGATAAAAAAACCAAAGACTTCTGTTTATTAAAAATAAAGTTAGAAGGATATTTGACTCCCATGGGATTTGTTTTCTGAAAAATGTACACAATATCTTTGGTTATATCTGGCTGGTGAATAATTATAAAGGTTGTGGTAATGCCTAAGAAATATACTATAAGAATTTAATTATATGATGGGATTTCTTGATATCAAATATCTCTGCTGTCATATCTAGTCTTTAATATTAGATCACTAAAAATATGTTGTCCTTCAAGCATTAAAGATGGTAAATATGTTGTTTCACTTTCTGCCATTTGTTCTGCTCAATTAATTTTATTTATCTTGGTCCTAAAATTCACAAGGTTATTGAGAAGATCAAAATTGACAATGATAATCTTTATACTAGAGAGTACTAAACAAAATGTGTTGAAGATGTCATATCATTATGTTTTGGGGATCACTCTTCTTCTCTAATAACAAATCATCATACCTATAATACAACTTAATTAGAAAAGGTAATCTAATCCCTTACTTCTCAAATAGGACTTCTGGTTCCCTGGGGAAGGTGTCAGGAGTACAGGTACCCACAGGCTACATATGGTACAGCTTCCTACTGTGCCCATTTTACTTGAAGATGGGGGCGGGCAGGTGTTTTTCTTTTTTTATTATAATTATGGGTATTTTTACTGATACATAATTTAAAATAATTTTTTATATTAAACATAAACAGGCATAATATCAAGCAGAATACATAATTCACATAAATTTTCAAGATAATACATAATACTTCATAGAAACTTTCAGCTCAAGACCCCTCTACGGTCCTTGTTCTTATCCCCATAGAGGCATGCTTTCATTCTTCTCTGCTGTTAGGGACAATGTGCTGGGAAAACTTAAGGTCATTTCTAATATATAAAAATTCAAAGTGCACACAGACTATGAGGATCCTCTCTGTTGAATAAAATGAATATTTTCTCTCAAATACTTTTTAGCTAGGACTTCTGTAACACCTTTACACTTCACAGGTGCTGAAGCATCAAACAGCTCTGTGAGATATATGAGAGATGAAACATGGCCCTAGTAATACCACGATCACGCAGATAGAAACAAGGGCACTTCCCTAGATATTGTTTTCCAAAACACAAACAAGTGGTTTTCTCTGGAAGACTCAATTTTGTAGAAAATATTCTTAAAATGATTTAAGTGACATCTTACAAGGAATGTATATTTACCTGTTTAATAATCTTTTCTACACAAGTATAAATTTTATATACCCCTTCTGCAGGATCTCCTGAGTGATCAATGATCTGGAAAAAAAAAAAGATGTTTAACAATAACAAGAAAAAACAATAATAGCAGGAGGTGGTGATAAACACTTATAGTGCTTATGTGTCAGGAACTATTCGAAGTACGTTACATATATTAGTTCATTTATCCTCACAACAACCTTATGAGGGAGATACTATTATTACCCCCATTTTTCAGAAGAGGAAACTGAGGCAAGTTAAGTAACTTGTCCAACGTCACACAAGGAATTTAATGTGAACAATGGTGCAAATAAAACAAAAAGTATACATTTTTTTGCCCTAGTGTCCAAATTTTGCCTTATGAATTTCCAATATACATTTCCTTCAAAATGCATCAAAATCAATTTTTATGCCTGTAAAGCTGTAATTTTACAAAACAAAAGAGCAAAATAATATTTTGCTATGTAAAACAGTAATGGAGTTTGCTGAAAGAAGAAAGACCCACTTGTAAAAAACATTTGTATTACTAATAAATGATTAATATTTGATAAAATTAGAATAAGGCAATGATTTTACAAAGCATATCAAGTGAACCAGCATGGGAATTTATCCTACATTTATATTTATAATCATGGTAGAGAGATCTTATTTTACTCCTATTTTAATAAAATAAATTCATCCTTCCAGTGTGCTAATTTCTAAAAAGTAATATTGATAAATAGAATAAAGATACAAAAGATGAAGTAATATATATTTTTTGTGGGACTTGGGGGCCCAGCTGATGCTAAAATAATTGAAACAAAGAATAAAATGGCTCTGTAGATTATAATAAAAATACATTTCTTTTTTGTCTCAGGCTCTTCGGTTTAATATGTCATGCTGGTCTTAAACTATCTTTTCAATACTAAATGATGTTAAAAAAAAAATGCTTGTATTCTCATTTGATCTTTTCTGGTTGGGCACAGAGTAATAAAAACGTTGTCCAGCTCCTAGAGTTGTTTTCAATTGTATTCTTCCCATTAACTATAAACATCTACCAAGTTATTTCAATGTGCAGTAATGAAAAGCCTGTCATTTCTATTCTAAAAATTATCCTACCATGCATGTAGGGATGATCAAATTTCTCTCACACCATCATCAGCTTTTTGCTTTTCCCAATGCTCTTAGGAAAGGTCACTATAAAAAGTCTCCTCCTTATACTAATCTTTGGTCAGTACGTAGAAGGACTCTGGTCTTGGGAGAAAAGCACAGAAAACAATATGATTTGTCCACTTACAGATCATACTCTTTCTGGCCACATATTGCTACTTATTCTTCTCTTTTTATCACAGTTCACAATCAGTCTGTTCTACTGTCAAAATTTATCTGGAATCCTACCATTTCTCATCATCTGCTCTACTACCACCTTGGTCCGAGCTACCAGTAATCTCTCCCCTGCACAACCACAACAGCTCTCAGCCTCGGCACACTACCCTCCAAACTAGTGTCTATTCTCAACACAGCAGCCAAAGAGATCATTGTCAGATGATCATGTCAGGTCCTGTCATTCCTCTTAAAGTCCTCCGATGGCTCCCCATCTCACTTCAAGTGAAAAAAAACAAGGTCCTTAAAATGGTCTCCACGGTTCTTCTCAATTAATCAGGGGCCACCTCTCCTACAACTTCCCCCCTCACTCACTCTGCTCCAGCCACACTGGCTCCCTTCCCACCCCAAATGCGCCAAGCTCATGCCCACCTCATGAACTGCGCTAGCTCTTCCCTCTGCCAAGCATGTTCTGTGAAAAACTCTGTGAATGTTACCTTGGCTTTATTGGTCTTGTTTAGGTTGGAAACTTGATCAATAAATTGCTGGACAGAGTCGGAACTGATTTTCCCATCCTCCAAACGATGATAAATTAATCTTGGTTTTCCTTCAGGGTTTTTCAGAAAAGCTTCTTCACAGTCTTCCAATAAAAAGCTAGAATGGAAATCAGCATTTCTTGTGCTACACTGCACTGTGGCAGCAAACAGTTAGTTGGTCAGCATAAACGCCAATATTGGGGTTTTACTACAATGACAAGTGGCCAGAAAAGGCCCAGCTGCAGAACAAGTGAAGCTTTCCAAAAATAGGTATTTTCACAGCTCTGTTCCAGGTTAGTCTTAAAATACAGTATGTTCATTAACCAGCAATGAGAGTAAGCATAATAAATTAAATTGTAAAGAATATATAACTTACTTTTATATTTTAAACCTAAAAAAATCTCTAAAATATTATTAAACATGGCTCAAAATAATGAACCAGACTCATAAATAAATGGAAAACAAAATTCTATTTATAAATATATAATTTCCAAGTTAACACACAAGTA